AGTTCAAGTGAAGCAGACTAAATCAGTTTGTATGTTTGATATCAATGAAACATTTATTCTATACTCAGTTTTCAATGCTGAATTCAAAACAGTTAGTTTCAAAACGTGAAAGAAGAAAGAGAAAATGTAAAATTTGAATTTTTTTTGAAACTGTAGCGATTTTGAGCAAAAATGGTCTTTTAAAAACTTTTCAAAAATTAAAACTAAGTTTTTCTTACTCAACGTGAGGTTCTCTATCCGACCATGTATAAATATATCAAAACGAAAAAGTTACGGAAACTTTGAGTTGTGGGCACTTTACTTGCAGTTTTTCTTGTTCAAGTGCTTGTACGTTGAACTGGAATTTACCATTGGAAAAAAGAAAAGTATCTGCTTCATTACGTAAGCAAAATACTTGGCCAAAAGTACGTTCTCACTAGGGAAAACTTATCTGCATACATTTTTTTATTTTAATATTTTCTATTTTAGATTAACTGTAGTGTTTCAAATGATCGCTCAAAATCATATCGGTCAAATGTCGATGAACATAGTTTCCTGTACATCTATCGGTGCATTTTTATTTTTTCTTGGCTCATTTGGAAACTGCTTGTGTATTCTGGTATTTTTAAGAAAAAAATTTCGTTACAGTATCATTACACCATATTTTATCGTTCTTCTAGTAGCCGATTGCTTCTATTTATGTTTTCGTGTCATTAAATTATTTTATTATCAACAAACTTTATTCAAGAAAGTTATCTATGTTTCATGTACAAATAATATTATTACAAATTTGTATAGAGTATTCACACAAAAGTTTCTCGATATATTTATTCCATTCGTTCATTTCGAATTGTATATGCGTTTTTCACTGATTTTAATGTCATTTGTCTCGGTTCAACGAGCACTCTTTTTGTCACAATCAATCGCAAAATTAACTATTGCTGATCGTGTTGGTAAACGACACTGGTCATATATTTTCATTATCATTGCATTTATACTAGCTTATTTATTTGAATTTTTTGGTTTAAATATATTTTGTTCTAAATCAAATAATCGCAATGTTTCTTATCAGTGGTTCCTCTACCTTGTTCAACATTTACCTTCAAATTCAACAGAATTATTAATCTCTTTAATAAGTAATAAGACGACTGATTTGCAATGTGTTGAACAGTATGTACATTATATTAAAGTAAATTTTACAAAAACACTGGATTATCATTGTTCTGAAGAAAAATTAATGAAAATATTAAGTAAATACAAAAATTGACTTCATCTTACTGTTGTTCATGCTCAGAGTTCATTTTTGCTTAGGTCATTATTTTGATTCACATGAACAATTAATTGTTCGTTTGATTCAACAAATACAAGTCCATTCAGATGGTTTCAAATTGAGCCGAAATGAAATTCGTGTCAAATATCATTATCATGGATGTATGTACAAACTGAATTCAGACACGTTCTTAAAATTATATAATTTTCTGTATGGAAGATTGATTGGATTCAATCGATATACACTTCTCTTAGGTAAGATCAAACATTTGTAGTATTTGTTTTTAATTCGTATAGAAAAAACGGCAAACGAGGGGATCTCGCGAACGATCACATCGCTTTTCCAGCCAAATCTAGTGGGTTATATGTTATCAACTATGCTGAATCCGAATATCATAGCGGTAGCTTCTCAGACGTCTTCAGAGAGCGTTTTTCTGGAAAGTCAGTTTTTCAGAAACTCTAAAAAGTAACCAAACACCTTTCTTAATGCGGCATAGTTGTAGTCCACAAATTTCTGATTAAAATGAGACAGTTCCTAGCTCTACACGACGAAATTAGAAAGAAAACTTTATGATCTTTCTTTGATTAATACAGATTAATTAGAATAGTTTTGAACTTGACAAGCGATCACATCTTGTAGAGCAAACAATTTTCTACAAACTTGTATACTTGTTCAATTTTCGCGTGCTCGTCTTCACTCTTTTAGACACATTTTCCAGATAGCTTCAAAATCGATTTTTGAGGCTGTTTGTAGAACAGTTGTCTTTTGATAATGAATCAATGTTCAGAGCCTAGGCACTTTTCATTTTGTAGAGAAATGCTTAATCCACTTAATTATCTAACTGCAGTTTTAGAATAGTTTCTAACTTTATTGCCATAGTTCTTTGAAAAAGAGCGAAAAAAGGAGACCGTTAGCTGGAAAAGCCGTTGAGCTGACAATGAACATTTAGGACTTTTCTTGTAAATTGTATAACTTAGCAAGGAAAAGTCATGTAGAGCTGAGAGCTGTCTCATTTTAATTAGAAATTTGCGGCCTACAACTATGCCGCATTACGAAAGGTTTTTGATTACTTTTTGGAGTTTTTGAAAAGTGGTTCTCCAGAAAAACGCTCTCTGAAGATGTCTGAGAAGCTGCCACTATGATATTCGGATTCAACATAGTTGATAACATAAAATCCTCTAGATCTGGCTGAAACAGCAATGTGACAGTTCGCGAGGTTCTCTCGTTAGAATGGAAGTGAAAGTTAAGCCTCTTTCAGAAGCTTAGAATGGGTAGAATTTTAAGGTCATATTTTTATGTAAGTATAAATAGAACAAGACATCCTCACATGAGTGTTGATAATGAGAGCTTTTCTTTTTTACTTTATTTTAGTGTTTGGAAGCATCCTTCCTTCGATAATCACTATCGTCGGTAACACGATATGTGTTCAACGTGTTTTACAATTGAAACGATTAACAAAAAATTACTTATCAAGTCGTAGTACGGATGATACAAGGCGCATACTCGTCATTATAACTACCGAATGTGCTTTAGCGGTTATTAATTCATGGTTTATCGATATTCTACTTAGTGTTGTTTATTGTAAACGAAGTCTAATCATTGGTGATGATTGTCCCATGTTTTTAAGAAACAATTATGATCTTCTCACATTATTAGACTTTTTCAATTCAATGTCCAATATTTTACTTCATTGCATATGTGGTAAACGTTTTCGACGTGAATTAATCGAAATGATTGTTTCATTTTATACAACACTGAAAACATGTTCTTGTATTTGTTGTCGTCATTCATACAGTTGGAATTGTGAAATTCGTGCACCTGTACATTGGCAAAGTATGACTTTACAACAACATGTGCGAGGAAGAAGCGGACAAAGAATGCTTGAACATGTTAAGAATAACAAATCAAGTCTCAATAATACTAGTATGATCGTAAAACGTCTTCCACATTATGAATACAAATCGATACACAATAAAATGTCAAAGTTAGACTCTTGCTGTCATTCATCTGTCATTAAGAGTACACCTGTTCTAAATAATCATTTGTGTTCAAAACAACATACAATAAGTTCACGAAACCAACGTTCGCCTGTTCGTCAGAGTACACGAGACGTTTTAAGGATGAAGAGTCTGTATAGTTAGAATTTAAGAGTTTTTTAGAATAAAATTATTTCGTTAATTATTGTGTGATACGAAAACGGAACATTCATGATCATAATGTTTAGTCGTGCGAGTCATAATAACGTGAGAACGACTTTTCGAGTTTTCATCTAAATGTTTTCATAATTATTGTCAAAAATGAAATATAACCCAAAACTTGGAAAACATTTAGACTTTATAAAATATTCGATAACGAGTATTTGCATTCTCCACAGCGAAAGTTTCTTATAAATAGTTCTATATGCTACTATTGATCTGCATATTATATATATTGATATCTAAAAATTAATGCATACCCAGATCGAATCGCTCAGTTCTCAACAAAAATCGACGGTCAGATTTGACTAGAATACTTAATGATTATTTCATGAGGGAGAATCGAAGAATAATTGCATTTGAGATAGTAATTTTATATTGGTAATGGATGGTGTGTCAGAAACGTACTAAAACGCTGAAAGTCGGTCAAGAAGATCGGTCATTACCCCCAAAACTAGTCATAAAATGATTGTGTCTGTTTGTGTGTTGTTATATCTAGTTTGACATTACATCGTTTTATGTCGGTCAAGATATTTGTTACCACAATGGATTCTGATGTAAGCGCTGAACAGCAGGTAAGACTTGTACAACGATTTGGCATTGAACAAGTCGATTATTCTATTTATTTTATTGTATCTGGTAGTGCACAGTATAATGCGACGATTTTGGCGTACGGACACAACAAAGGACGAAGGTCGATAAGAGACAAAATCGACTCCCTCACGGATCAAGCTCGTATTAACCGACCTGATGCAGTTTTTGTCCGCAATTAACTTCAACAAATTTACAACGCTTTCCCTTAGAGCAAGCTTCAACTATCATACACCGTTCAATAGAGAATTTCACGGGCTACAAAAGACTATATGAAAAATTCAGTAGAAAATGGAACTGGGTAGTCTAACATCAAAAATACTCTATAGCATCTCAGGAAACCCGTAGATCAACATCGTTCATGTTTCATAATATCCATTAAAAGTCTCATAACTCCATCAAAATAAAAGATTTTTCAATCCGGGCTGTTTTGTTTTGATCAAAAATGATTGTTCTTCTCTACTTAACTGCAAAATCAAACTTTGATCATGTTTTCCGTTTCTTGCTTGGGCACATTGTTGAAAACTGGGAGCTGACTATTTTTGAAACTTCATTCTCCAGCGCACCATTTGTTTTAAAAAGATTTGCTTCAGACGACGAGAAAGAGGACATTCATAAGTACAAAGAGCACTGAGTTCTTACTTTTGCTACACTTTTTTACAAAAATAATAGGAAAAAAACTTCAAGCCAAAAAAAATGCCAAATTTATAGTCTTCATATTTTCGTCTTTCGTATAATTTGAGTAGTTTTCTTGGTTGAAGTTCTGAAATTAAAATTTAGATATGGCGTTGTAGAGTATTTCGCGGCGCATCTTTTGAAAAAAAACACTAACCTTAGGGTCCTAAAGAAACACGAGAGAAACAGAAAATACTAAATAATCCGTTCTTTATGCCGTACCCGTTATACAATGAATATATCTTCTCTTTGCTCTTATTATCTATCTACAACCAGTCCATTTTGAATTGTATGAAGTTTTCTTTTTTTTACTGAATAACATTTTTCCCTCACTCTACATGCATAAATATACTCTAGTATTTTTCACTTATGGAGTTATTCGTATATTTTACTTTATTTGTATATTATAACAAGACATTCACGCACTAACAATCTGGTGAAAATCTCCTCTCATAAGCTAGGCTTACTCTTTTCTACCAGCCATTCGAACTGTAGTAAAATAGTTCCGGCTAGAACCCTTTTTTCTCAAAGAAAAAAAGTGTGAGAAAAAACTATATTTTGTATTGAACCTTAACAGGTTCATAAAATGGTATCCAATTCTAGAACCCTGAAAGATTCTGTCAGGCACCTTTTTTATTTAGAGAGTAGTCTAGGTTGTGATGTCATTTTTTTTCTATTTAAAAAGAAATAACAAAACATTGAAATCGGTACTATTCGACACTTTTATACCTAGTATAATTCACAAGTTCGAATATGTGATCACTTTGAGTTGATATAATTTTGCTACGTTAAGGTTACACTTTTTTTACATCGCTTTCATGAACAATAATTTTCACACATAGCAGAACATAATAATTCTGTTGTTTTCTTGACGTAGAGTAGAGTAGTCGAATCTTATCATTTTTTCATCTATCTGTTTTCATTCGATCAAATCAAGAAATATAGTGCCAAAATTCAAGCATCGATATTAGCAGAAGAGACAGACACATGAATAAATTGAAATTTCACTAAGCTAGTGGCGAGTTACCTAGAAACTCAAAATGGTTAGAGAACTAGCTCAAAAACTGAAGTGGTTTTTCGAGATTCACCTCGATTATTTAATAGAGCTGCCAAAGTTGTTCTTATGGAAAACGTTTCCAGTAGTACAACCTTAAGTGGACTGAGAAAACTCGAATCAAAAATACAGTATTTTAAATACTTCGAAAATTAGAAGAGATAGACACTCTCTCTCTTATATTTTGTTCATGTTGACTACGGGTTACGACTGTCCTTCTATAGTAAGTAAGTCTTGCAGTGAATAACTTTTATTCAAATGAGAAAAGTGGAGAGTTGTCACGGAACAACGCGAACTAGTCATAGGTCACTAGTATAAGGAAAATTTCATTCTAGATAGTACCTAATTATAGACAAAAAATTTAATCAAGAGAAAAAATGTCGTCAGACTTAGAATATGGCTTTGTGAGAAGTACTGCCTAACCGAAAGAATGAGCATTAGAAAAGCTAGTACTGATTTTCCTCATTTCAAAGTAGCATCTGTTTCGATTTCACGCTTTTAGAGCTTTTGTCTATAATTAGGTACCATCCAGAATAAAATTTTCCTTATACTAATGACCTATGACTGGTTCCTTGTCCCGTGACATATCCCCACTTTTCTCATATGAATAAAAGTCACTGACTGCAAGACTTACTTACTATAGAACGGCAATTGTTTTATTTTCGTCACATGTGATGAAAGTGCATTTTTCAGGAAAAAGCAGGGTGACGTAAGTTCCTATGAGATTCGGAGTGCTTTTTGTGGCTGTGACGAAAGTTCCGTCGAGTGTGACGAAAATGCCCTTGTTTTCAACGGCTCCTGCTTAACTTTCGTCAGGCATAGATACCACTATAAATATAGAATAGAATCAAGCGTTGTACGATTCTTATGTGATCGGAAGCACTCCCTCAGTAAGAGCAGCACCTAGTATTTACTACACTACAGTACTTCCTTAGTAATTACTGACAGAATATGCGGATAACATAAAAGTTTGATATTAGTTGTTAATGGAAAAAAAGATAATCAGTGAACTACAATCATAGCGAATGAGAATGGACGGAATTCATCTGAAAATTGATAACCACTTTTATTTTTTATGTGATCGGGAGCATTCTCGCAGTAAGACCTGCACCTAGTTTTTACTACACTGCAGTACTTCCTTAGCAAGTACTCACAGTGAATAAAGATTTATTGTTCAAGACTTATGAACTTACTCTGTAACTACTTGCTAAGGAAGTACTGCATTTAACGTTCTTTAAATGTGACCAAGGTTCACCACTACTGTGACGAAAATTCGCCTCATGCAGCGAAAATTTTGGCGTATGTGATGGAATTCACACTTTGATGTCGACAGTACCCGAAGAGTACCTTTCCCTAAAGAATTTTCGTCTTGCATGACAAAAGTGCGTTCGTCATAATAACGCTAGTGTGGTGTAACGGAAGTGTCATAATCCGTTGTACTACTGGAAATGTTTTCCATAAAAACAACTTTACCAAGTTTATTAAATAATCGAGGTAAATCTCGAAAAATGACTCTTCAATTTCTGTGCTAGTTCTCTAGCCACGTTCAACTTTATCGGTTTCCAGGTAACTCGCCACCAGCGTAGTGACATTTCAATTTATTGATGTACCATAAATTTTTTTTTATGATTTTACTCTTTCTTATCGTAAAGTATGAAAATATACAGACTGAATATGGATCTTCATGCAACCATTTTTATACTATGCAAGTTAACTTATGATTATTTTATGAAATTGTTAAGTTAACTTCATAGTTGAATTTCCTACAGGTTTCTTTCATTTTCCCATGGGAAAATATTTCTATAACTTTCCATCTAACAAAACATTTTCTTAGTTGAAAATTGTGTACAAAATAATGCATTATGGAATAAATATTGTTTCATTAAATTGAAATCGATACCAGGCGCAACTATATGCGAACAACCAGGTGGAAAATCACTGTCCGATTTTGTTCGTTCAAGGCACGTGGACAAATTCTACGCAACATACCAGAATTATTAATAATAGCCGTACAAATGACATTGCAATACGGACGGTTAAAGAAGTAATTGATGAACTTCGTGCATCAGTAGCACTTATTCGTCAATTATATCCAGGTATACAACGCATCATCGTCCACGAGATTATGTACCGGACCAAAACAAGTCAAAAACTATTGACAACCAATGAAATGATCGATGCTATTAACACTTTATTGTAATT